GCAGCCCCTTTGCCCCCCCCCAGCCCCGGCCGTGTCCCCCCGCCCCGGGGTCCCGCTGCAGCAGGCGCGGGGTTTAAACCCGCAGCACTCGCGTTTCTCACTCGTGTCCTTTCCTCAGGGCGAGCGTCGCCGCTGAGGAGCCCAGGGGGTATCTCAGAGGTGAGTTTTTGGTAAGTCGAGGCTCAGAGAGCCCGAGGTTTATGACACCCCCGAATATCGTTGTCGCCCGGGGCCGTAAGGGGGGTGGAAAGGTCCCCTGTCCCATCTGCTTTCAGCTTGGCTTGCATAAAGTTTTAAAAACCCGCAAGAGCTGGCCAAAGTGATTACAACATGCTGGAAATATTTTTTTTTCTCCATACTCGTACCGAAAAGCCTTAATTAAAACAAACCCGTGGCTCTCAAAGCTTTTTGGACTTTTGGAGGACAGTCGCTGTCTCTGTTAATCTAAACAGCTTCCTTGCTGAGAATTGAGACACCCTATCCATTAAGTGTGACTTTCTGTCAGCAGCTCATTGAGCAGATTTAACCAGGAAGCTGCAGGCCTCTTAAAAGATTTATTTATTTAATACTCCAACTTTTGATTGGTCATGTTAGGATGCTGAATATTCAACTTTCTACTAAATCAGCAGTCAACTAAAAGCAATGCAGTAAATTCTGTATTGCATTTGAGAATGTAGGAGTTACACACATGCTCATATTCAATACATATGTACTGATATCACAATGTTCTTTTTTTTTTTTGTCATCTATATGCTGACAAGTACAAGTTAGGCATTTTCGCTCGCTTAGAAACTAGCTACAATAGAGCCAAACTGTTGCTTTGGGACCGTGCACGTGGTAACCACAAAAATACAGTGATTTACAATGGACTTTGCAAAGCTAAATATAGAGCAAACATTTGGTTTGAAGCATAAGCTGGATCCTTCACAGTGAACATGAGGCTGTGTAGAAAGCATCACTTCATGCTACAATAATGTTATCTTTCAAATTTTTCCATCTGTGGTTTCAGATTTTAGCAGGAAGTTCAAACATGCTTAATAATCTTAAAATACTATCTGCAGGCTAAAAAGATGTGTGAATTTTCTTTGATGAAAAATTATGGTCATATGACAAGCAACATAAACCAAAATTATCTCTGAAGTTAAAAATAAATGTCTAGCCTATATTTCTTTATTTTGTTTCTGGACTTTATGCCACAGACACTATGTGACAAGCGATTAATAGGATTAGACACAAAATTAGTATTCATCTTTTCACCACTTAATATGCACCCAACTTTGTTTTAATAGCATCTACTTTGAGCAGTTTTAATTTACAGTAAATCACATTTGCATTATAATGCAAGAAAAGTAAAGACATTGGGTTCTCAAGCACTCAATTTCTCAGCAGACTTCAGATTGGGGCTAAACTGAGCATTCGGTCTTCAATGTGTTAAGTTACATCTTACTAGCCAAGCAGGAAGAGGGACTATCACATTTGTTAGAGCTCTCAAATTTAACAAAAACCTGTCTCCCATCATAATATCAATCACAGGAGCATTGAGTCAATAAGGCTGTCCAACTGTGGAAAGATAAAACACAGTTCAAAGGTGCCAAATGCCTTATGAGAAAAAAACATGTTTCTCTCGGTAGCTGACAATTCCTCTGAAATGAATGGTTTGCAGTCAAATTGGTCAGAGGATGAGCAATTTACCAAGACAAAAATCCCCCAGAAATTACTCTTGTTCCCCATCAACTGCCAAATAAATTATTCATGAGTTAGGGTGAGCCTGTGACTGGCAATAAGCTGTCATGGCCTTGTGGCTTTCATTAATATTTTTACGGAATATTTGGGCTGTGTAGAGGATATTACCTTGAACCCTACCATTTGTTCCCAAGATGCTCAATATTTTGCCTCAAAGTAAATGTACAATTTCTTAGCTGGACCATCTTATGTGCATTTCCCTTGGGGTTGCGTGTTTTTCATGTGATTTTTTTTTCCCCACAGGATTTCCCTGGCCTCTAGGCTACTAGTGAAGCAGATTTTCCATTTTTTATCTTTTCTGTTCTTTAAGCTTGAGAAGATTCTTCCCAATCCAATACCATACGGTCATCAGGAACTCCTGCATCGCTTCTGTGGCTGGCTGTGCTTCTCCAGGACATGCAAGGTAAGCTTCAAACCCCCCTGGTAGCAATCTGTTGCTACCCGGTTCCTGCAGAGCTCTTGAAATGCTCTTGGTGTAGACATGGCAGAGCCCCCTCACTGAGGCTCCGATGTGAGGTTCAAACAAACAAACAAACAAAGTCAGAAGAGAAGCATGTCTGTTACACATTTTTTTTTTTTTTACAAGAACTGATGTGGCTATCACAGAAACATGGTTTAGTGCAAGCTTTCACAGTGGGATCCCTGTTTTATAGAGGCTGGCATACAGCTCGGAGAATCCAGATAGCATGAGCATTTAAACAAAATGTCGTTGATAGGTGAGAAAAATAGACAGTGTGGTGGATTGGTATTTGTCATCCCCATTGAGCCTGCCTTTGAGTCAATGTCTTTCTTGTTCACGCATGATAAAATACAAGAAGAATCCCGTGTCAGTCACACCAATGATAAGCTGGCAAAGTTGATATCTTTAACATTCATCTTCTCCTTGTCACTTCTAACAAAAAGGATTCCCATGTTGAATTGATTGTTGGAACGACAGCACTTCACACAGAATTCTGAAGTGTTTTCTTGTTAGATAGAATCACAACACAGTTCCACTATTGTGAGATCAAACAAATAATTTCTGTTTTCCCTGATGCAGACTTATGAACAACTTTAGTCATCTAGAACAAATGTTATTTTTTAAAGGAAGAAGGACATGAGGACTGCAGACTGTTGTCAGCATTCCCCATGTGTAGGTATGTGTGATACATTAAACTCCAAACAAATGTATTGTTAAATCTATACTGGTGCTATATATATTTTTTTCCTTTCAAAGTAATTTAATTTTGATTTCAGCACAAATACAACAAGTAGATGAAACAGCTCACAGGCAGCTAGAACACGATGAAGAAAGGGCGTTTTTAAAAGGGATACATGAAATTAAAATAATTTTAAAAAAGTAAAATTAACATAGAATTCAGTCCTACCTTATCTGTAAAACTTACTCCACCAGTAACTAATGTTTCATCTGAACAGATACAGTGCATTTTTTTTTTTTACTATTATTATTCTTTGTAATTATGACAATGACCTGCCAATGCTCATGCAGTTTTCACGGGGCTTTTAGCTGCACCAGGCCCATAGCCTGTGCCAGAAAGGAT